GGCATGCTGTCGTCGGTGCTCTGTTGATGTGCGCCGTCTCGTTCGTAAAAAAAGCGTTGGCCGAAAAAATATTAAGAAAAATGGTAGAGAATCATGGGGGTATAAACGGGTAAAAAAGTAAAATCAGATTTTATCCCACCGAATCCCACGAGGAAGGTGGGATATCTTTTATGAAAGGAGCTTAGGATAGGATAAAATACGGGATAACAATTGTCCCAATCCTGTAACAACACCCAACATGGGATATGGTGGGATGAGACAAAAATTTTGTCCTATCCCACTGTTTATCCGGTGCTCCAAACGCGCTGTTAAGGACTAATTTTTAACTTAATGTCCCGTCAAAAAAAAAAAAAAGGTTTTAACTTAATGCAAATGAGGACAGGAATATCACACCTTGCACAAGATAATATGATGACCTCAAATCAAAGGATCGGTTATATTCACATCATGATAACACATCTAATTACATGATGCATATGGTGTTCTCATGTTAGGTCAGTCAAGTGTACACAGTTCCTTGAGCATCCATATTAAGATTTGGATCTCTCCATATCCATGATTTGTGGGATCATTCACGAAGAATGAGTTCTCATATTATTGATGCTTTCAACTAAAGACGTTTGAGAATAGTGCTATTGTAACATAAGGTCCTTAACAACAGAAACTTCTTCTGTTCCCTTCCATATTGTGCCATTCTAAGAACTTTATTGATATTTAATCTACACTGTAAATTTTGGAAACCTTGTCATAAAATTATAACGGCAACTACATGTACATAAATAGTGTCTTTTACAAGGGATGACAATTGGTTTGTAGGGCATCTTTAACACTTAACTATCCACATTTAGCAAAACAGTAATTGTTTACATGCACTTGGTTTGGATTTTTGTTGTCAACCAGTGTTATCAATAGTGGCCATAGTGTAGCGCTCTAGGGCTCCTTCCCTATTATAACCAGCATATTGTGGCGGATTACCATTATTGAAAGACAGAAATAACCCTAGTTCAACCAATTAGGATCATTTTTAAGTGTAGAATTGTCTTTTCCATTTTATTTTATTAAAAAAATCTCCAAAGTTAACCTAAATCTCGACTGTGGTTTGTCTTTCTCTCTCAAATCTAAACTTCTCAACAGCCTCATCTAGTGGCCCTTAATCCTAATCAACCTCATTATCAGTAGGCAGCAGCCCATCCCCAGACGCTTCAGAAGTCGTCAAAGTTAAACCTAAATCTCTGACTGCAAGCTGTGTTCCTCTCTCATGTCAGCAATCAACCTTGCGAGGCCAGAACTCCAACTCTACATTCCCTGAGTGATCTATGAGTGAAAGTCATTTGCATACACCATGCTGTCTCCAACTTCATCCATCTATAAATAACCAAAACAGATGAGAAATGGGTGTGTTGCTATCACTTGACTGATTGATATGTGCTTTCTTTCTCCAATTCTTTTAATTTCCATTTTTTATTTTAAAATGTAAATTTTGTTACCAAAAACTTCTACTGTACACAAAGCAACACTATAAATTTTAACAATTAAAAGTAAGAAAATGAATGGTTAAGATTTTATATAAGTGTAGTGTTTAAGACTTATGTTTAAGCAGATCTCTCCTCTTTCTCTCTCTCTCTATATATATATCTGCATATGCCTTGCTGTCACCTACTTCATCCATCTCTAATTAACCAAAGCAGATGAGTAAGGGGTGTGTTGCTGTCCCCTCGCTTATTGATATGTGCCTTCTTTCTCCAATTCTTTTGTTTTCCATTGGTTTTCTTTATGTTAAAATGTAATTTTATTACCAAAAACTTCCAACATACACAAAGCAGCTTTATCTATATATGTTCTCTATTTTTTCAGTGGCAAGTCAGTAGCAACCTCTACACTATTCATTACATTATCATAGTGGATTTTTGCATTCCGCTATTGGTGACTTTCCACTAACAATAACAATGGTATCAACTAATATCTCAGAGCAACTAGAGACTTTTGATTAGGCCCATGCTGATGAATTGTTATGTTCCCCAAGTTCTTGTACTTTAAGCTACCATTTGGGGTTTTGGTAATGCTAAGAATCTATTAATTACATTTATAAGGAATATATCTTTAGAGTGTTTCTGGAGCACTGCTGTCCTCCTATCCTTTTCAATGCTGGTCCCATGGATACCTCACACAAATGGAAGCGTGGTGCTGATACTGATTACTCACCTGATTTGAAGTGTACATGTGAAATTGGTTGCATTTACACTAGTTTTGTCACTTTTACATGAATTAAGTTTCTGTAGTTTGATGCTTGGTATTTTATCTTTACATCTCTTTTTTTTTAGGTCCTGTTTACATGATCCAGTTCAAGTTTCGCCAACTTGAAATTCCGCCAGGCTTCAATGTTGACCATCAAGGTAAGAGAAAAGTTTCTTGAGAGATATTGATCATTCTATTTCATTTATCTATCTTTCGTCTAATCTAAAGTCGTACTCATCTATGTATTTGAACCGATTTGTCTCTGTATCTTATTTATTTTAGATGTAATCTTCTGTGATTGTTTAGAAATGAGTGATAGTGTGGTTGAAGTGATCTACTTACATTGTTTGGAGCCTGTACTTTTGCCAAGTATTCTAAGACCTGAATTTGGTTTAATGGGGATATTCAAAGGTATCACCTGTTTTTTCTCAGTTACAATAAGAGCCCCCTATGTATTAAAAGGAAATATAAGACCTTATTACTTTTAAAAGGCGTTAATATCTGTTATTGTTCCTTATATTGCCATCATAACGCAAAAATGTCTTTGTTTTATCCTCGCACATACACATCAACCCTTTATGTGCAGGATGTACATTTCTTTCTTTAATTAAGACATATTTCTTAAGAATTTGCAATCAATGCTTAAGAATTTTTTTACGTACATTATCAGGTTGCGTTGGAGGCTGTGATGAGGTTCTTAAGCTACTGATAGATATCTGTGGAACTGGTTCTCGCATATCAGGTCTGTTTATCCACTTATCAAGAACAGAGTCAAGGGAAAATATGGGATTTTATGGATAAGTTGGAGTTTAGAGGAAAATAACTGAAAGGTGATGGTGATCATGGCACTTGAAAGCATATTACAAACTGAACCATTTTGAAATGATCTTCACAAATTTAAGTTTAATACTATTTGAAATGGGTATTTAACCTTGTGTTTTTGTGTTAGCTTACTATTGCGTCACTTCCAGGCATGATAGGATGTAGTTTCATGTACATACGTGTATTAAGCTAAAGTGGAAATGATAGAAACCATTCATTTCATAGGTCTGGTAGCTATTTGGTTTTCCTAGTCTTCCTCGGCAGAAATTCTGATTCTACTTTATATGTTCTTCAGCAAGAGGCCGAGGACCCACAGCAATGCCCAGCAATGTCCAAAGAGGTAATACTAGGCTAAGTGCTTGCATTTACTGTCAGCAAACAAGGCATTCTTCCAGTGACTGCCCTTCTCGGATTTCGGGCTCCCAGAATTCTCACGCTCGTGTTAACCCCCAATATGGTATGAAAGATAAGCTATCACTTTATATTCATGAAAAGAACATTGTTGCTTCATTAAAGTAGTTAAGGATAAAGTTGGATGTGCGATAGGCATGAGTAATAAAACATGAAAAGATTGCATTACTTGGCTTATTCCACGTAATTCGCAATCTGATTAAACCAGTCAAAACAACTGAACCAACAACTGAACGAAGGGGAGGCAAATACACAACATTGGTAATCCTTTGTGAACCAATCAAAACCAAACAGTGGTCAACCATTGTGAAGCAGTCAACACATCACCAACCACAATGAGTAACATGAACACTAAGGCTACATTTAGTATGGGTATAGTTTTTAGTTTTTTATTTTGGTTTAAAAAAATTTTGCAACTGATAAAAACTAAATAAAAAATTGATTGTTTGTCGAAGAACTAAAAGTATAAACTTTTTTATTATTATTAAAATTATTTTTGTTCTTTTTTTACTATATTATAAAACTAGTTAAAATCTTTAATAATTCTCAAATAAATAGCCAATGAGACTTTTAAAATTCTTAATATCTTTAATAAATCTTCAAAAAATATTAAAAAAAATATATAATGGACTTTTTTTAAAACCTTTAATAAATACCAAATAAATAGCTTATAGATTTTTTAAAATCCGAACTCAATTATATTTTCAATAATAATCTTTCCTTTTATTGCAATTCTAGTTCAATCTGACTTCAATTATTTCAATTATATTTTTAATAATAATCTTTGTGTACTTATTTTCAATATTATAATTTTAATAATAAAGAACAAATTAGCCCTATAGAAATTCTAATCATTTTATGATTCTATTATATTATAAAAATTATTAAAATCTTCAATAAATAGCCAATGAGGTTTTTAAAATCTTCAATAAATACAAAATAAATACCTAATACTTTTTGAAATTCAAAGTCAATTATATTTTACTATATTATAAAAATTATTAATATCTTTGATAAATCTCAAATGTTTACCTAATGAGTCTTTTAAAATCCCTCTAAAATATCAAATAAATATGCAATTGGCCTTTCAAAATCTTTGATAAATAATTATAATTTTAATTATTAAGATCTCAATTTGATTTCACAAATTAATTAGGCAAAAAAAAAAAAAAAAAAAAAAACCTAATAACTTCCTATTCAATATATCAATCATCAATCTCAAATTGCTTTGACAACTTTAATTTTATGTTAGTTCAAATTCAAATTTAAATGCAATTATATTTTGCTATATTATAAAAACTGTTAAAATCTCTAGTAAATCCCAAATAAATATCAAATGGGCCTTTCAAAATTGTTCAAACCTCTTAAGTGTAGGTGGGAAGTAAGAGCATGTACAAGGAATCTAAAAATAAAGAAAGAGTCTATGCAAGGAACCCAAAAATGTTTTGACATTCTCTTTGTCAAAAATCTAAACTACCAAAAAAATTATTAAAATTGTAAAGTAAAAGCCCTTACAAGCTTTCAATAAACTCATTAAGACAAAAGTTTAAACAATTTTAATATACACACAACAAGAGAAATGCAAGGAGTGACTAAGAAAGAATAATATTGAGAAAATAAAGATAAAAGGAGAAAAATAATAACAAACAATTATTAAATATGGAGAGAAAATGCAGGCAAATGTAGAGCAAATAGATAAATATAACAATAAAATGTGATTAAGCTAAGAGATGGAATCCCATGAAAAATTAATGAAATGTGAAGTATAAGTAAGTGAAAAGTATCAAGAGAAAAAAATAGTGTAAAAAAAAATATTTTGATAGATAAAGATTTAAAGAAATGACCAAAAGAGAATAATAAAGATGAGAGGATAATGAGAGAATAATTATGAATAAATTATTAATATAAAGAAGGAAAATGAGGGAATAATGTAGGCTCTTTAGCTTATATTGGTAAAAACTTATAACATTTTTTATATGTGTATAAATGTATTTCAATATAGTTGAATTATTTGTGATTTCAAGATATTTATATGTTATTGCAATACTAAGAAAATAGAAAATATCTAATGATAGATAGAAAGAGAAATTGAGTAAAAAGATATATAATGATAGATAAATATGGAATGAGTAACTAATGAAGAATAATAGAGAAGGGAGGATAAAGAAAGAAAGAATAATAACAAAAAAATTATTAATATAGAAAGGGGAAGTGAGTGCAAACATAGTTTAGAATGATAAATATAGTAAGAAAATATAAGAGGGTAAGTTAAAAAATGATGTCACAATAAAAATTAATGAAATGTGGAGTAATGATATGCAAGTAAAAAAAACCAATGGAATAATATTAAAAAATTATGTTTTTTTAATTTTGACTTAGAACATGTCTAATAGAGAGATAAACTGTGAGAGACAATTTGAATAAGGCGTGAAGAGTAACTACAAAAAAATAATATAGGGGGGAGTATAAGGGAAGAAAGAATAACAACAAACAAATTATTAATATGGATAAAGTGGTGTGAATATAGGTAAATAGATCAATATAATGATAAAATATATGAGATTAAGTTAAGAGATGACATTGTAAGAAAAATTAATGAAAGATATAGGTAAATGAAAAAGTACCAAAAGAATAATGTCAATCAGGTTTTTTTTTTTTTTTTTTTGCTAACCCCCTGGTATCTGGAAGCCATATTAGATCCTAATTAATTTAGAGTCGAGTCAGGTCAAACCCATAATAAGTAGCCATCGTCATGTTGGATTGACCAATGCTAGAGAATCACACCACTGATAGAAACTGTCAAGAAGGCACAGAAAACAGGCTTCAAAGGAGCAGAGTTTCGAAATTAAGTGGTGGAAGATGATGACCCAGAAACTGACTCAGAAAATTAAATGGAAACTGGCCCAAAAACTTTGACAATGACCATGGGGAAAATCAAAATCAGAAGCAACCTAAGCTACTAGAGTTGCTAAAGGTGCCAACCAGGCATGCCAGCGTGTAGTGCGGCCCCCAACCACCTGTGTCAACCCATACATGCAAAAATATTGCCGCTCATTAAAAGAATGTGGCACGTTGTTGCACTTAAGCAGAAAATGTGGTAGGAGGCACACTCTGATGAAGTAATCAGGCCCCACCTACTTCATCAAAGTCAGCCTTGATCATTTTTTCTTTACAAAAATGAAATGTCATCGTATTTTATTTTTAAAAAAAAGCTAAAAACTAGAAACCCTAATTTACTTCGATTAAATTGTTTAGTTCTCTTTCCTTTGGTTCAATTCTTTTCCTCTCCACAGCCCTACCAGTCTCCCCTTCACTTTCTGACTCCCATCTGACTTCAATTGTTTTGCTTTTGCTTTGGTCTCACCTAATTATCAATTATCAATTATTCTGATTCGTTTTCAGGTTTCTTTAATTGTATTTTTTTCTGCACTTTGCTGTTGGCCTTTCTTTTGTTAACCTATTCTCTTTTCTGGACCTTGTTTTCCATTTCTATCTTCATATGCTTCTTTTACAACACACCTGCACATTTGAGATGAATTTGAGGTAAGTTTATACAGGTAAGTTCATATGTTTAGAAAGTTAATGAAATGAAAAGTAATTAAATTGTTGTTTCTATTTTTCAAATTTGTTTTTGACATTTTTTTGTTTCCTTTTCAATTTTACTAAAATTTTTGAATTTTTTTAATAATTGTGACGCATAATTTTCCTGGGTGGTTTGGGTGCCGCTAGGCGTTGGGCAGAGGCCTGGCACCTCGTGCCGGTCAATGCTTTTGGCAACTATAAATAACGAATTCAAAACTCAATGAAACTCTGTTAATATAAAATTGATAACAGCAGCATAAAAGTGACTCACCCATAAAAAACCAAATCCTATAATCAGGCTGTAGCTCTATTTGGAATGGCCATGGTTTATAGTTTATAAATTTTGTAACTCTAAACGAAATTCTTGTTTGGTTGCATGTTGATTCTCAATATTATTAGATTGACAGAGAAATAAAAACGAAAATAGTTTTAGTTATACTAAATAAGTTTAAAATTTTAGTTGTCAGCCTTAGTTTTAAACAAATTGTCAGTTTTTTTTGTTTTTAATTTTAGTTGTCAGTAGTTACAAAATTGTTTAAAATTGAAATAAAAAACCAGAAACCACAATCCACAAGCATAGTAAACGTAGGCCTAAACAAAAGAACCATAGGGAGAACCAAAACCGAAAGAGATAACCTAACCTTATACCCATTGGTGGACCGAGGAGATGCAACAAACCCTAAAAATAAACTTTTTTTTTTTTCAACAATAAGAAAAACCAAGTGGAAGCAAAAATATCAGAAACCTAAGACTAACTAACCTTCGATTTTGATCCTGGTAAAGAAAAATCAAAACAGGTAAAAAACAGGAGAAAAGTGGAAGAAAGGAAAAGTTAAGAGGAGAAAAGTGGAAGAAAGGCATTTTGCATTATTCTGTACTGTAAAATTTAGTATATGGGGAGCTTTTATACACGCTTTAGGGGACCTACTCACACTAACTTAGAAAACCCTAAATCTACTACACTAACATAATACCATAATTATATCAATCAACCATTAATGTAATTGATTCTCTAAATGCCATAATACGGATGACTTTGTTCTAGCAAAATAATAATAATAATAACAATAATAATAAACACCTTTGTCCAAAGAGATTCTGAACTCCATCTCTGAATGCTATCTGAATTCTTAGATATGTTGAACTTGAATTTATTTTCATTTTCAAACTCATTCCCACTATTTTCTAACATAACTAAGATTCTTTCAAATTTCATATAGCAGTGTCATTTAAAAAATTGACAAAAATTGACACAACTTGCCAACCTGACCTAGTCTGCCCACATAAAATGGGTCATTTGTAAGGTTTCTTGACACCTGAACCCATTTGACCGCTGACACATATGGGTGCAGTCACAACTAGCAAAATTGTGAAATGGGTGTCATGGGTTGCCTTTTCTAACCTGCAAACTCGTTTGATCTAGCTTGTTTAACCCATGATCTACAATAACCCAACCCAAGCCTGACCCACCCATTTTCCATGTTTATTAAAAGGTATTTTATGCAATCATCATTTTCTTTTGCCCTCCAATTCCAAAGGCAGCAACCCACTGGGGTTGCTTCAAGTAGTAAAAAGTGATATAAAGCATGCTTGAAACACGGGTTTGAATCAGTACAGGCCACACCCACTACCCTTTGGTGTAGAGTTGCCGAGTATATGCATGGGGAAGGGACAGTTTGCAGGTACCCCTA